CCTCATTACTTCTTACATTTCTCTTTTAGGTGGAAGAGCATAAAACTTTTTCTCTCGACACTTGTTTGTGTTCTTGAAATCAGAAATCCATTTCTTTTTTTTGATTTATTCATTCAAATTTATTCAAATGTTGATTTTCTATGTCTATCATTTTCATTTCATTAAAGATCCTTCGCTTCTGTTCTTTCAGAATAAGCAAAATTATGACGTTTTTTCATTCGATATATAAAGTACCTGATCAGTTGTATGAAATTGTTTGATTGACAAAAGTAAAATAAAACACCACTTGAACAGATTCATGTTTATTTGTTAATTTCTCTATAGGAATTCATTCATTACGCACAACTCTTCGAAGGTAAATAAGAGATTCGATTATTTTTTTAATACTCTTTTAAGTACTTTATGTCCTTATTTTTCATGTAACTGTTCGTTTTTGAAAACCATTTTTCTTGCCTAAAGTAAAAAATATTTTAGATAAAATTATCAAATATGAAATTAATTTAGCTAATGTTAGTAATTGAAGTTTCTAGAAAAAGAATTTGTTTGTTGTTTATTTTCAGTTATATTGTTATAGAAAAATAAAGAATAGTTCTTTATCTTTATATTTTGAAACAGCAAAATTCTAGTCTAAAAGAAACAATTGTTTAGTGGGTTTAGTTATAACTAATGAGATGAGAGTTTATTTCATAAAAAAGAACAAGAAATGATCTTGTGATGATGAACATTCATCTGTCATGAATTTATTTTTGTAATTGTGCGAAGTATTATCACAAATATTGAAGAATAAATACGATGATAATATGTATAGCTAAAATTTAAGAAAGACAATATAAAAAGCAAAGAAATATACATAAATGATTTATTGAAAGAGTGAGATGATTATTTGTTGTAAACGCTGTTGAAAATGTTTTGATCATTTTTTTATGTATAGAGAAAGAATCACAAGAAATTCGATTTTATTCGAATTTTTTGTGATTAGAAATCGATTAAAATGAGACGATTTTAAACAGGTTTTAATCCGATTTGTAATCAGAAAAAAAACTGATTAAAATCGGTTAAAATAACACTATTTTAATCGTATTTGAACAGAAATTGTAATCGATTCTAATCACGGTAGTTATGAAACGTGTTTTTCTTCAGTTTGCAATTAGAAAGTCAGACTTCTAATAGCTTTTTTGGACACCTCGCGTTGACAAATAGTAGTTCTAGCACTCAGTCGACTTTCAACATACTTGAAAACATAGCATCAATTCATCGTTACTCGTGTAAACCTAAATGTTAGTATATTACATGAAAAACGTCTCATTTTAATCGCAAATAAAAATCAGTAAAAATCGTATTTTTTTGCATGGAAACTTATGAACATAGGAAAAGAATAGAATCAAAGATGATTATGTATTTTATGAGTGTTTTTAAAAGATGTTGATTTAGAATGTGAATATAAATAAATGATGATTAGAATTTATGATCTTGTTCATTTGCAATAAGAATATTGCTAGAAGTACCGAATTCTTTATTTGCTTCTGTTATTATACAATGTATCAATCTCTATATCAAATTTTGTTCATAGAAATTATGACAAAATTAAGCAAATAGTATCTGCAATAATATTGTGCACAATGCTCATTCAGATAAGAACAACAAATCTAGTAAAATCATTCAAATGCAAGTCTTATAATTTTTTGGTATTATTTAAATATTTATATAATATGTGTAGTAAAAGAAGAATCCATGTAAAAAACAACAAGACAAGAATCCGATTTTAATCTAATATACTGAATAGCAGTTTTTGATATTTGATCATTTGATAGTTGAATCGATTCCATTGAAAAACATTGTTCTTTGGTGAAAACGCATTGTATTGTTAAAATAGATCAAAATTTATTGAATCGATAATTGTCATCTATTCAACTTCTCGTGTTATTTTATGGATAAATAAGTGAGGTTACACAATATATTCAGTGATTTCATGTTGCGATGAAAGACTGACTATCTACTATAGTCGAAATATGTTATATGCCGTATTAAATAGTAAACGAACGAGCTCTAATTGATTTCTTTATTTGATTGATGACGTCCTCTATGAATCGCGTTATCACAAACATTCATTAATATGCTACTGTTCTTAAAATTGATTTTTTGAGAAATCTTTCGAAAGTTTATGATTCGCATTTTACCAAATAAAAAATTCATTATTGAAAATGTCGTCCAGTGCACTTAATTTTGAAGTAACTCATCCATCAGGAATTGACATGGATCATACTGTATCACAAAAACAAAACTTCGATCCATTTTCGAGTCTATATAAACATATTTAATAATGATGAAAAGAACGAAGTATATACATATTATTTTGTTATATTGAACGTATTGTTTTTTATTCGTGATTGACAATCTTTAAAATGAGTATAAAGAAGACAGTGAACTGTTCGCATGCGAAGTGGATCAATATTTTTAGGAAATAAATTTGGGAGGTACTGAGATATTGTTCGACGTAATTCAAAGCCGAATGTAATTTGTTGATGAAATGTATCAATAAATTCTTGTTTATCTTTAAATAGTGAACCTTCAAGATGAGAATGAAAACGAAGATTTTTTGTAAGTGATATATTAAGATGATTATTAAGAATAAAAGCGAGATAAATATCATCCGGATACCATTGTCGTGAACATCCATCGACAAATTGCGATACAGTACGAGTATAAGGTTCAAGTAAATGAAGAGTACGTTTCGATAGACAAACACCAGCGCCAAGTGTTGCAAACCAAAAATCACCTGGATAAGCTTTATTTTTTTTTCGTCTAAATTTCGTATTCCAAGAATTTCGTCCAATATAATATGGATAATTAGAATCAAGTTTAGATAAATATTCATGAAGATTATCTGTATGAACATATTGATCATCATCAAAATGACAAAACCAATCATATTGAGATTCATAACGACGATAAAAAATAAAATCATGAATTGTTTGACAACAAAGAGCTCGAACTTTATGTGAGCTAGGACCACAAGTTGTTCCTGTTGCTATTACATGTGTTCGAGTGATATTAGGTGGATAGGTATCACTTATATAATAGACATGTTCATGAACAAGTGAAATCCATGTTTCAAGAAGATGAACAAGACGAGATGAATGATATTTTGATACTGTTCGAACAAGATACATTATGCGAGTAGTTGGCTTCCATGTTAGTCGAAACTGTGATTGAAAATTAAAATAATACAGATAAGAGAAAATGCAAAATAAAATTAGAAAGATAATTATACAACGTCGATATAAAAAAGGATTAAACAATTGCATTTCTAAATAATAAACAATACTACATCAAATTTGTAGCATACACATTCGTGATTCTTATCGTTATTTACGAAAGAAAAAACGATTGATTTATAAAAAAAAGAAGTCGTTTTAAACTTAGTTTCTTGATCAGATCAGCTTTTACATGTAGAAGAGCACGCATTCATCGCATCGATAACTGAAAATCAAATATGATGATTCTTGTGACACAGTTTTGAAATCTTTGTGTATGAGTGAAAATACGTTATTTTTTTCTTCTTTTTTTCTATAACGATATTGCTGTTATAGCCGCTTACTCTTATTTCAATAATAATATATGATGGTTTGATTTATATATACATAGAGCAGAAACATGATATCGAGTGAATGATTCGTTATCAAATCAAAAATTATTTAAAAACTTCTATGCAATTCTCTGTATTTGTTGTCTGTAGGAAAGAAAAAAATACTGAGTAAAGATTATGTACATGTATAACATGAAGACTTTCTTTTTTTTAATATTATAAAATAACGAAAGAGAATTTGTCTAAACTCAATATAATCCATGCGCAAAACAATCCTACCCAGTGAATAACGCGAAAATGGTCATTAAAATACATGGTGATTCATAAATTGACTATTTTTATTCATTTTATGATTACAAACTTGAATTTTTTTGACTCTCAAATTAATATGACTAACATTTATAGTTTTCAGAAGTCATATGGATCTTTAAACTCAATTCAAAATATTCGTTGAAGTTATGCGGCACAAGTTTATGAAAAGTGTTTGATCCTCTGATTTCAATTCTCTCTATCAAATGAATGGCATACTATAGACAAAATTCCTGATGCTATCGCCGTATTTTTGTGGCTTAGGATTAAGGAAGACGACCTGGAGCTTCAAGGCCCATTGCTATTGTAAAGTTAAAATGTGAATTTCTCAGAAGTGATGTTAGGTATGGGCGTGAACGTGGTATGAATGAATATCACACATAGCATAACATACACTCACACCCACCTGTAATCCTTAACAAAAGAGAGCGGTTTTTTTGCTTTCAATGATAAGAATAAACTCAATTCGTCATTGTTTTCAGAAGCAACATTTTCGTTTTTTGAATTCTTGTCTCATTTTTATTATTGTCGAATTCAAACTTATGAAATGAAAAATCTAATCGTTGCACAGTACAACATTTTGTTAGTCATAAAATTATTTTTTATATACTGACACAATTCATATAAGTCATGTAAAAGGTAAAGTGAGTCAGAGTTACACGTTACCTTATCTTTCACCATTCGCTAAATAAATAATAAAAATGTAAATGTGCTTTCAAGTTTCATGACTTACGGGTTTTTTTCTATCAAGAATTATGATGAAATTTCCAGATTGAGTCATTGGTAATAATCAACCATATATATACAAGCTGCCTTTTTTATCCGCTTTACAGATTCAAAAAATCTACAAATGGCTACGAATACATTAGCATCCGTGAATATTAATTGTATTCCTGATAATCGTTATGCAGTTATTGGTGTCGTAAATCATAAACGAGCTCGATTCGAAATTGAAACAAAGAAAAATGAACAAAATGCTGAACAAACCAAAAGAAATCCAATTAATCTTGTATTAGTACTTGACCGCAGCGGCTCAATGTTATCAAAAAACAAACTAGAATTTGCAAAACAAGCTGTTATTTCAGTACTTGATTTGCTTCATGATGACGATATTGTTCATCTCGTAGCTTATGATGATAAGATTTTGAATATTTTTGAAGATGCTCCTGCATCAAATCGTCAAGCTCTTTATTCAACAGTAAGACAAATTACAACTGGTGGTTCTACAAATTTATCTGGTGGTATTAAAAGTGGTGCGGATCTTTTTGAAAAATATCCACATCCTGGTTATTCTAAACGAATGTTTGTCTTGTCCGACGGATTAGCTAATATTGGTTTACAGTCAAAAGCAGAAATCAATAGATTCGTTAAAAATTACAATGAAAAAGGTATCATTATTGATTCATTTGGTGTTGGTGAAGATTTTGATGAAGGAATAATGAAAGGTATTGCTGAATCTGGTAATGGGCAGTTTTTTTTTCTTGAAACAGCTGAGGTTATTGTTCAGTTAATGACGAATGCACTTCAAAGTGTTTTTGATGTTTGTGGTACACAAGCTCAATTAATTGTTCGTGGTATCAATAATGGAATTGTAACAAAAATATGGGGTTATACAAATACTGCTCAGGGTGCAAATCTTGGTGATCTTCATGTTGATAATCTGCGTGTTATTCTTTGTGATTTTACAGTTTCGGCATCAGTACCGGATGGTACAGAAATAGATGTTCTTGAATATGAGTTGCGATACAATCATCCTAATGATATTCAAAGTGAGCCATTCATAGTTACTGGTAAATTACCAATAATATTTGTTGGTGATGAATCATTAACTAAAAAAATTGATCCAAAAGTACAAACATTACATGCTGTTCAAGTCGCAGCAGAAATGGATGATCGAATTGTTGATTTAATAAATCGTCGTCAAAGAGATGAAGCTATTGCATTAATTGATGAACAAATTCAACTTCTTCAACAAGTAGAACATTTAGATGATGAAAGACATATGATTGCAATGTTACTTCGAATGGCTAGAAATATGCAAAAACGATTAAAAGAACAAAATGTTAGTGAAAAAACAGCTGCAAAATCTTATCATCATAAGTCTCATATGAAAAAACATTATGATTATAAATATACAAACTATTATGATGAAGATGAAAAAGAAGATGACTAATAATCAACTTAATATTTTTCATGAGATTATTATACAAAATTTTCTTTTCTTTAAAATAAATTGTTTTTAAATAAAGTTGATCATTATTTAATTTATATTAAGAATATAAAGTTAATCACACCCTCAAGTAAGTCAATCTAATACTTTTCACTTCGAGCAAATAAGAAGAACGTCTGCTTATATTTGTGACATTTCATGATAAACAAAAATTATGTTTTCATTTTTCTTTCCATTTTGTTCGTCACGTTGTCGCCTGGTTTCTTTTTTCTTTCCGTTCTGTTTATTTAATATTTTTACAAATGTCTGTTTTGGTGTCGTTATTTTTTTATATAAAAAAGAAACAAACGAGTAAGTGAAGCCTGAAAAGACTATTTTATACAACGTTAAGAAAAAATGAGTTTAAAACAATATATTGAAGAACTTTCATCACAAAATACAGATTATAAATTTCCTGAACAAGCAATAAATCAAGCTGAATCATTAAAATCTTTATCAAGTGATTTATATACAGATAATATTCGATTTATTTACGAACTGATACAAAATGCTGATGATGCTCAAGCAAAAAATATTATTCTAACAATTTTAGGAGATCAATATCTAATTATTGCCCATGATGGTAATGATGAAATATTTTGTTCTTCAGCGAAAAAAAGGATTCGTTTTTTTTAGGAAAAATATTCGATGAAAAAGATTTACAAGGTCTATGTGGTATTAATAATGGAACAAAAAAGAAAGATCTCGATAAAACAGGTTATAAAGGTTTAGGATTCAAAGCTGTTTTCGGAAAATCAGATTGTGTTATTATTTATTCTAATGGGGAATATTTTCGATTTGATTCTTCATATAAAATCAAATGGAATAAAGAATGGAAAACTGCTAATCAAGAACTATGGGAAAAAGAAAATGATCGACAGTTTATTTATCCATGGCAAATTAATCCTATATGGACAGATAGCCAACAGATTCCAAATCTTATTTTAAATTTTATTAATTCGAAACAAAAACAAATTCATGTAGCCTATGCAATCCTATTGAATAATCATGGCGAAATTCATTCGGCTATACAACAATTAAAACAACAACCTTATATGTTTCTATTTCTACGAAATATTTCTCAATTGACATTTTTAACTGAACCCACTGATATTATATCTATTGCTCGTGATGTAAATCATGGTTTGAAAAAAGTTTATATCAATAAAAAGATCGATTCTCAATGGATTATTAAACGTTTTGAACTAGATATACCTGATGATATATTAAATAAATTAGCGAAAGATACTAAAGCACCTGACAAATTACGTTTTATTAAAAAAGCCGAGATGTTTTTTGCAACGAAATATAAAGATGTTGTTGGAATAGAAAAACTTCGTGATCAAGATTCAATCCTGTTTTCTTATTTACCGACTAAAATTTCGGAATACAAATTTCCAGTATTAATAAATGCGAACTTTTTAACTAATGTCAATCGAGAACAAATTCATACAGGTAAACATTTTTTTTCTTCTCATATTTCTCTCGAAAAATTTGTATTTAAAGATTCGGTTTGGAATCAATGGTTATTTGCTAAAATAGCTGATCAAATCTTTCAATGGATAAAAGAATTAGTTAAAGATAATAAATTTCGTTTTCAAGCTTATCGACTTATTCCATGGAAATTAAATTTAATCAATAATCTTTTATCAAAACAATTCAATGATTCATTTGCTATAGCTATTAAACAATGTAATTTTATTCTTAATAGAAAAAATCAATTGTTAAAAGTAAGTTGGTTACACATATCAATCTACAGAGTGAAACGTTTTTTAGGTTGATGAAGTCATTATGGATTCAACATCAATGTCTAAACAGCGAAAGTTCATTAATATCGATGCAATGCGGCAGTATATCATCGACAATAATAAAAGTTCTTCCCAGTATGCTGAACATCCATTTATTGATTATGATTCGAACTTGAATGAAATAGGTGTGAAAGAATTTCATTGGAATAACTGTATTGATATGTTTAAATCGGATATATTTCTTAAGAATTATTCAATCGAAAATAATAAACAAATGATTGTTTATTTTTACACAGAATATTCTAAGAATGATACAAATAATTCTATAAAGATGAAGATTGAAGAGATTCCATTTCTAATGGATCAAAATAATCGTTTACAATCAATCAAAGATATTTATTTTCCTACGGAAACAATTGGTGATAGTGGAACGGTTGATTCCGAAGATTTATTTGTGCAGAAAACAATATTCAACTGGTTAAATGAAAAAGCACAAAAAGAAATCAAACAATGGTTAAAAGATATAGGTGTTGAAGAACGAACTGATCTAGTCTATTTACATAAAACAATTATTCCAAATGCAGCAACTTATATTACAATGGAAAATACAATGAAAACAATCAAAATGTTGTTTATCTTATTTCAAAAAAAGGTGATTACTAAAAAGGAACTCGATCAATTGAAGAAACTAAAGTTATTAACAATACGTGAAACTTTAGTAGCAGCTGAACAATGTTTTTTCTCTGATCAATACAAACCACGATCACCACTTGAAGATTACTTAAAAACAAAAGAAGATAAATTTCTATCGTACGATTATGTCTCAAGTCATCCTTGCAAAAACGAAGACTTAACAGAATGGCGAGAATTCTTCAGTACACTAGGCGTCCAAGAGGAACTACATCCGATCGTATATCATCGAGCATTAACATCTTACGAAGCAGCTAGTCGTGGATTTTGTGAAGAATATCTATCCATCATTTCGCCTGATGGAAAGCATTCAGTCGATGCTTTTTCAGAATTAACAACTATCACATTTATACAACATACAAAAAGTAAGAACATGATATATTAATCTGTTAATGTGGGTAGTGATTTTTCTTTTCTATAGATAATTACGAGTTTGCAAACTTCTTCTGGTCATATGTAGTGAAATACATTTCACCAGAGATATTAACACAAAAAATAAGAGTTTATTGGGGTCATGCCGATAAACGAGGTGCAACTGATGGAACATTATTAGAAGATTCTGATTATGTCAAATGGTTTGTTAAGAATATCAAATGTATTCCAACTACTGAAAAAACATGTGAATTGTCCAGTAATGTTTTTTCTGATCAGAAGGAATTGAAAGATCTTTGTAGTAAATACATGTCTTTTTCATCGATTTCAATCCCACAAAACAAGACACAATGGAATGAAATTTTCAATTTCAAAACAAAACTTTCAGTCAATGATTATTTTGATTTAATTGAGAAAATTCGATATGATGAAAAGAATTTAAAAGATAATCTTGAACGTATACAATCATTATATTCTCATATCTTGAAAGAAATGTATTATTGGTCTGTAGATGAACGAAACACAGCAAAAGAACGAACAAAATCTTCATATCTTCTCACAGAAAATATTCAGTGGAAATTATCCAGTGATTTATATTTTTATATGGAAGACAATCGAGCAAATAATGCATTAAATGATGCTATTCCTTGTCTTAAACTTGATTTTAAAAATCGAAATGATTTACATTTACATGACTTTTTAGAATTGTTCAATATCAAACAAATTAGAATGAATGATTTAAATCTTGCTGATGAAAAATCTTCTCCTGCTGAATATTTTCGAAGCAAATTAATTGAAATTTCACCTTTTTTAAAAAAATGGTTGAAGTATGAAGGTGTTTCAACAGATGTTATTTCTTTAATTGATCGAAAACTTCAACAAGAATATGATTTAATAGAATCAGATAATTTACAATTATTTTATCATAAGATATTTGTTCGAGAAACAACTGTCTACTTTGATAATAAACGTAAACAATTATATGTTAAACGACCATGGGATAGTGAAACCACATTTATCGATCTTCCCAATAAATTATGCCAATTATTGAATATACAAGGATTTGAAAAAAATATTCGATTTTTACTTAAAGGAACGATTGAAGAGATTAAAAAACATTTCAATTCAAATTCTATTGAAATACCAACCAAGAAAGATATTGTTATCTTAGAACCATTACTAAAAACAGGTAATTGAGAATGTATTTTTTAGTTATATCATCTGTTAATCTATTGATAGATGTTCTACAACAACCGAAATTTTCTTTACCATCGGAATTCAAACCAAATACATCTCTTGCACCTATGAAAAAAGATAGATCTACAGAAACATGTATCACTAATAATAACGATCATTTACTTGTTTTAACACCACAGTGTCAAGTTGTTCCACAACACTATCAAATTCCATTTTATGGTAAATATATGTTCATTAAAACTATTGTGGAGCCAGAGAAAATTTCATAAGATTTTTCTAATCATAGATGCTATTCCAGCACTACCTGTTCAACTATCCATCCAAAATATGAGACCACGAAAGGAAAACGGGGAAAGATTGTCAACATCTGTTTTGATTGGATCATCGGAAAATTCAGTTGATGATATTGAATTTATTGATATATGCTCAATAACAGATTCAAGTTTAATGTCTGTTGCAAATCTGAATCATATAACAGGAGAGTGTGATGCATCAGATTTAGATACAGGACGTATTGGTGAAGAAATGGTGTATAAATACTTGTTGAAGGAATATCGAGAATAATCAAATTCAGTGATTATCAAATGGTTAAATCAAAATAGAGAAACTCATTTACCATATGATATTCTGTTAAAGAAAAATGGGAAAACTTATTATATTGAAGTCAAATCGACACGAGCATATAATCAACATATATTTCCATTATCAATTAATCAAATTGAAACTCTTCTGCAACAGAGAGAAAACTATTTTATTTATCGAGTTTATATTGACGAGAAAAAATTTATCGTATTAGATAATATTCGATGGCGCTTAATGCAAAAACAACAACTCGCTTGTCTTTTACAAATTTTAACAGTTCCATCGGAATAAATTTGAACATATGTACAATTTGAGGGTATGGGTTTAAGTTCGTAATATCAACATATAATATGAAATGCTTTATTTAATGTAGTTTTTCTTTTGTTGTTTTCTTATTAGTAAAAATAGTTTAGAGAATATCTCATTTTTTTTGAATTCAATTGTATTAAGTGATATCGAAATATGGATTTTTTCGGGTTTATGGTAAGTTAAATGAGCAAAGATTGAGTCAATGTGTGTGTACTAGAACGTGAGAATCAATATTTTTCATCAAAAAGTGTATCAAATGACATTTACTCTTTCAGAGTTGTGGTTACAAAATCAATGTGCAATGAAATTTAGATGTTTTCGACACTATCAAACAAATCAAAGGAAAAACATTCGTAAACAGCGCGAATTTCATATTTTTGTTGTTTTACATGAGTGAAAAATGTTATGCAATAGTAACAAAGCGTTACTTATTTCTTCTCATATGTAACTCTATTACATGTTCATGTCAGATATTGTCATATGAGGACATTGATGAATTGTTTTTGTTGATTGAAAACACCCCCTATATATATACAGACTTATTCTCATAGTTTTACAAACCAATTCTCATCTTACTCTACTTTTATTCTACACTTCATTATTACTATTAATATGCCAGGCTGTGGTTGTGGTTGTGGATGCGGTTGCGGTTGTGGATGTGGTTGCGGCTGTGGTTGTGGCTGCGGTTCGTGCTGTGGTTCATGCTGTGATCCATGCTGTTGCTCTTGCTGTGATCCTTGCTGTTGTGATCCATGCTGTTGTTCATGCTGCTGCGGTCCAAAATGTTGTGTCACTAAAACTGTGTGCTGCTGCAAACCATGTTGCAAAGTCATCAGAAAGAAAACTGTCACCGTGAAAAGATCATGTGCCAAGGTTTGCTGTTGTTAAATTAACATTTCTGATCTTTTTCTATGAACTCATTCAATATCTAACAACGTTAGAAAGAAGGTGTATTACATCATCTTCTTATTTTTCTTTGTTCATTTCTCTCTCTCTTTTATTTTCATGGATATCTTTTGTTGGTTTATGTGCGCATGCCTGAATAGAAACGTCATAAATAGCTAGTTTTTTTCAAAAATAAATTTAATTAGCGAACAAGGAAAATTTTTTTCTATTCTATAACACTTCAAGTCATTTCAACTAAAAATAGCTACTGAATTCAAAAAAAATTCGAACTATGCACATAAATAAAACTAAAAACAGATCTAATTTTAACGTCATTCATTCTTTCAGCAATTATCGAGATGCGTCACAAAAAAGAATCTTTTTCATACACTAAATATAAAAATATATTAAATTCAACAAAAATCGTTAGGTATCATGTATTTCTAATTTTCAATAAAACAATTGACAAGAAAGATATGTCATAAGTTAAATTATATATTTTTCGTTTAGTAATTGAATTAAAAGAAAAAATTAAGTTTCAGAATTTGTCGAAGATTTCAATTCATTATCTGTTGTAACATTAGTACGAGGACCTTTAAACCAATGTCGAGCAGAGAATATATAAACAAATGAAGAGACTAATAATATGGTCCCGAAGCCAACTGAAGAATAATTCATATTAGTAGCTGTCACTGGATGTTCAGGAGGTAGAACAAATAGAACTACGATTAAACATATCCATAAAAGAGCAATAACATTAAGATATGATGAACATCGACCGAGATGAAAAGGACCATGAGAAAATGCAATAGGAGAGAGTATTTTACATAGTATTGGTAGACCATAAGCAACATAAATGCAGATAGTACAGAAACTAGTTATAGCAGTATATGCTGTTGAATTAACCAGATAAGGAAGGCCGAAAAGAAAACCAATTAAACAAGCCAGCCAAACACCATTAAGTGGACATGCAAGACGAGGATGAATCTTTTGCCAAACATGACTCCATGGCTAGAATTAAATACAAGAAAAATATAAATCAATCACTCGAATTATTCTATTTACTAAAGCATTATCTCGACTAAATCCATAAATCATTCGCGAAGTTGCTGTTACTGTTAAAAGACCACAAAGCCAACAAGTTATTAATAAAATACACATTAATACAAGTGTCCATGATCGACCAAAATTATCCAATAAAATTTGTGTTACTGCAAATCCTGTTTCACTTTTTACTGTTGATTCATAATTACGTACACCTGTTATAAGTGAAATAAGAAAGAACCAACCCAGGAAAACTGATCCAACAAGAGCACTTATCATTCCCCATGGACCTGCAATATCAGCCCGTTTTGTTTCTTCACACATATATGCAGCAGAATCATAACCAGCTAAACAATATTGAGCTTGTAAAAGACCAATTAAAACGACATAAATCTTTTTTTTTGAAAAATAAAAATTTTATATTGTTTTAATCGTAAAATAATTTACTCACTGAACTTGTCCATCCTGTTCGATTCACAAAAGTTGTAAAGACAAATCCTCCTGTATGATGTTCACCTTTTCCCACAGCTAACAGAGCAATAGCGATAATAACGGGTGCAAATAATTGCCACCAAGTAGATACATAAGTTATCCAAAGTAAAACACGAGGACCAAGAGAATTACATATACCATGACTAATAATAAGACCTAAATGAATTAAAACAATATGCCATGGTTGAGGTGACCAATTACCAACACCAACTGAAATAACACTACCAACAAGCATTGCAAGACCAAAATCAACAGATGCTACTGCGGTAAATTGTCCCATTAAATTAAACCATCCAGTAAACCAACTAACCAATGGTTTATATTGAGTAGGCACGAGGTGAGCAGCCCAAAAATAAAGACCACCTGCAGTTGGATAAGCTGAACAAATTTCTGCCATACTAAGACCCACACATATAGTAAATAGAGCAACAACGATCCATCCCCAAACCATAACAACAGGACCACCCGTATTCAATCCATAAGCAAAAAGAGATGTTATACCTGATGTTATACTAACTACTGATAAAGTCATTCCATAATTTGTTAAACGACTTAAACTACGAGTTAATTCTTGTTTATATCCAAGACTTTCCAAACGATTTGCATCATCCATTTTAGATCTTGGAAATTAAACAAAAATAAAATAAATATAACATTCTTCATCAGTATATAGAACTAATAGTAAAACTATAATTTTACCTTTAATATATTTAATGTACGAACAATTTTATTTTTATTTAAAAAAAATATACATCAATAAATATTAATAGACGCAGTATGTATATATATATATATATAGTATCTAAATGAAGAAAAAGAATCACATGTTATATTACTTGACAAGTCACATTATTTGATACATTGATGCATGACGAAGTATAATAGCCAAGGACAAAAATATAACTTTTTTTACCTTATAATAGTCAATTTTTTATATAGTGAAATTGTTTTATACACAATAGAGCGATTTATGTTTTAAAACGTTATAGAAAATAATAAAGTTTCTTCTGAAGTATATTATCTCGTATCATTTTTTACTAAAATTTCTTTGTCTAAAATCAAAAAATAGTTATATATGTATATTTTAAAACAATGAATGACCGTCACGGTTGATTTCCGTTCTATTCTCTTTCTCTTGATGATTCATACGGATGAAACAAACACTAGTCATTTTTAATATTGCTCATTGACCTTCTTTTCTTGTATTATTAATATATCTAAATAATTTTTTATTTCTTTCTTGCAATTCATTATACAGAAAATATAAAAAATTAGTTTTATTGTCTTTCACACTGATCTTTGTAAATTTATGAATCATAATACTCCTATCGTATCTTCAAGGTTATTTTTACAATAAATATATGAAAACAATCTTTATGTTTGATTCCATATTGATGTAGATAGAGGAAAATTTCAAAACTAGTTAGTCTCGATACTGAAATTCGTGTCAACAACTAAAAAGTTCAATTAAAATTTTGAGAGTATCGAAGTACATAGCAATAATTTAATTAGAAGATAAAATCATACAGTATTGAATAATGTTTTTTTTATGAATGATAGTTTTAGTTAAAGTAATTGGATGAATATCAATAATAGAATAAAAATTTAATCTTTAAAATTAATTATATCGAAAGAATGATTGAACACTTTGAAAAACTTCCAAACCAGAACATAAGTGAAGATTAAACTTTTCTTTGTCCGCATCTATATGCACACCCACCTACATCCTTAACTTCATCTATTTAATCCGATATTGATTATAGATTTTCATTCGTTATATTATTTAAACCGTGGTCAAGAAGATCTACAAAGAAAAAAGGAAACTACCTATTTACGCCTAACAATATGTAAACAAAAAGATTGTTTGTGTTCATCATGTAAAGCCGTCATCCAAATTTCTAATCTTATAATTTAATATCATCATTCTGTTCTTTTTTATTGATGGTTATAGTATCAAGTATGATCTCTTTATCGTCGTCATCAATAATTTCACTTGGCCATTTTTGACCACATGCTGGCACTGGACTTATTTTGCATAATACGTAATACAATAGTGCAGAAGCAATAAATCCAAGATAGAAATTTAAATGATACATATTATGTGCTGCAATTGAAATATTCGCGCCTAGTTCACCAGCAAATCCGACTACATTAACAAGAATTCCTGCAATATATGCAACGTATGCTCGCCAATTCACGCCCAATGTATAATAATAGATGCCTTGTTTTGATCCTGAATAGAGTTCGTTAATATTAAGATAACCTTTTCGTACAAAATAATAGTCGGATATCATAACACCAACAACCGATGAAAGAAAAGTAGAGTATGCAGATAAATAACTTGTAAATGTTGACGAACTGGCAAGAAGATTCCAAGGACAAATAATTAAACCAACTACAGCACAGATATAACCAGATCGTCTAATGTTGAGAAATTTCGGTAAAAGTGCTGTTAAATCAGATCCAGCTGATACAGAATTTGCTGCAATATTAACACCTAGTTGAGCTAGTGCAAATGCTAATGAGATAAAGAAGACACCAATACGTGTTCCAGTTGATGGTTGAGAGTCGAGAAATTCGCCTAAAAGCTCTAGTGGATTCCAAATAGGTTGACCAAACCCATGTCGCTCTTTTTTTCATAAAACCGTCGGTAACCGCCGGTTGTGCTAAGAACCAGCGGTGACCGGTGGTTGAAGCTAGAACCGACTGTTAACCGCGGTTACCGATCGGTTTCGACTAGCGGATTTTAATGATGAAACGATAAACAAAAACAAACAAACTATATGTAGTGATATAAAAAAAATTAGAAATAATCATCAATATGATTAGATTCTCTTGTTCTACTAGTTTTATCAAGATTTAGAGAAATAAAACTCATATTTTAAAGCTATACTAAGATGTCGCTTTTTTCTTTCTCATTGGATTGATTGAAATTGTTCAAGACTTGTTCATTAGATAAACGACATAATGAATGAATCGATTGTTGAAGATAACTTTCTATGTTTATAATATCTATGTATATGGTTTCCATTTTTATTTGTTAATTTGTCTTGAAATTTGTTGCACAATTAATTTTATTTTTAGATATCAATATTCCATTCATTTATCATAAATCGTTTTATTCTCGTCGAGTTATCAAAGAAAAAGGTAAATATCAATTGTATCAATATTTTTCGTTTTAAATAACAAATTTGTATTTTCAAGATCAATGTCGTATTAAATGGTGATCAATTTGGTGATGAAAATATAATCGTTGACGATTCACCATTTAAATCTACATTAGTGAGTTATATTTAGCAGGTTCTGCTTATGAACTTTTGGCTGTTGTTTTTTTTAGATTTATGTCAATTCAGAAGGCGTATCTGTAGATCTACTTCAGTTATATGGTGCTCAAACTCATATGGGTCATTATGTTGCACTTGTAATGGATAAGTTATTTACGTTCGAAGAAATAACGACCATTACTAAAGATGAATTGGTAAAGGATGAACGATACTTAATTATTAAAGGTAAAACAAAAATCAGTTTTTATCATAGTCACTTCTTAAATATGGTTCTATTTAGAAGCAGTTCGATTAAGATTCAAGCTGAATCATGAAATGTTACGGTCTGAATGGACAACCTTGCATGAATGCATTCTTCAAAAGAGACGCAATGAATTAAAGAAAAAAAAAGTAGTACTGGTAATGTAACAGTGCAACCTGCACCACAAGTAGCACTACACGACGATTTTGATGAATTTATTGGTTCATTTGCAAATTAAAAAGCTTCTTGTTAAATATCTTTTTTACTTCTATTTTCTCGTTTTAAGTATTTTTACTTTATTAAAAACATTTATTTCTTACATATTACATGATTATTGTTATAATATGTAATACTTCTTTATTAAATGTTTTTATCATACAGTCGTAATTAGAATAGTAGAATATGTACTTGATTAATGTTATTTTATGTTGTAACTCGTGTTTTTGTAGACGCATTCTTCCTGTGTGAAAACATAATGTACGCGTCTTTTTTGTTTGTCTCATTACAAGTTGATTTTGTTGAACATGTGTAATGTTAAATAATGATAAGTGATTTTTTATACTTCAATGATTTAAAATGTTCTTTTATTGTTGTGCTAGAAATTGATTTTGATGAGATTTAAATAAAGTCTAACTGAAAACTAGATGTGAATTGAAACTTTTACTGTAAACTACATTCGATCCTAACACATCAGTAAGAGCATAAAGAAAATCGACAGTGGAATGCAGTTAACGGCGGTTAACCGCGGTTAACTGCGATAACCGGAACGGTCAAATGGGCGTTCAAGCGGACGGTAAACTGCGGTTAACTGACGGTTTTAAAGCGGTTTGTATGACATGGGAAGATTACATTCGACGATGAACCGACGATTATGCCGATGAAACATGTAATTGAAAAACCAATCGGAATGGTAAGTAATTGTGGCCAAAAAACAGCTGATGGACGTGTAGCAAAACGAGTATAATCTGGATTATTAACTATGAGTGTAGCAAAATTTGAAATACAACTCATAATTCCACTCATCCATGCCCAAGCATGAAGACTACCTATTCAAGAAAATATTCTATCATATATAAAAGTCAAAAAAATATTGTCTAGAGTATAGAATCAGTGAGATATTAAATAATCTGACACCTTAGACGAGGATATATCTACTGAAAAAAATTCATGTATGCTTACCTTTGAGTGTACCAGGTTGATGAATAACAGGACCAAGACCTTTTGCTTTTACTAAGGTCCAAATAAAGAATGCTACGGCTGCAATAGGTACAACAATCGATTTAACAGTAAAGAGAATTCTTATTTTTTGTACAGGAAACCAGATGGCGATTAACGAAAGTGTCCAAAAAATAATAAAACCAATGAAATCTCGTGTATTCGTACCAAATGACGCCGGTAGAGTATTCGGTAGTGTTCCATACGAAGGCCAAATAGATCGTAAGATGAGTACAACACATTCTCCACCCAACCATGCTTGAACGCCATACCAGATACACGCCATAAAACTTCGATTGAAAACAGGCCACAATGATCCAAATAAACCAAAAGAAGATCGACTAACAATTGGAAATGAGATATGATATGTTGCACCAATTCGTCCAGATAAACAAATGAAAACAGCTGAAAATGTATAACCAATCCAAGCGCAGAGCCATGCTTCCCACCAAGCTAAACCGCCAATAACCATAGTTGAAATAATCATCCATGTATTAACATTAATCGAATCAGCTAGCCAAAATGCAACAAAATTCCAAGGTCCCCATAGACGTCGTTTGCGTTCAACTGGGTTCAGATCTTCATTTTTTAGAAATGCTTCACGTCCAGATAAACTTTCAACTAAATCATCCGCATAAAGCCAACTGGGTAATTTCATATTTATCTATTGACAAAAAAGAAGGTATTTCTATTCATGCATGTCGATTTTATTTTTAAAAGTAAAAAGATATAATAATAATCGTCTCGTCATATAATCAATATAGTACACAAAATAAAATATACTATAAAAGAGAGGGTGCGAGTGAGCGGTCACTTTTCTCATATGATATAGGGATGAAAGAAATCTTCAGAAATGATGAGATCATTTTTATAATACCTTACTAAGGATACCTCACGGATGAAAAGTAAACAAAGAAACAGTCTATTTGGACATAAAGAAAAGGTAAAAGAATAAAACTATGTACATACCTGTGAATAATTGATATTTTTAACAGAAAAAAAATTCAACTATATATACTATGAACAGTGGCAGAAATTGTGTAGTAAATGTATGCATACTAGTGGACATCCCTCCTCTCACATCATTAACTGTTATATTCATAAAATAATACATTCGACTGTTCGTCATTTTTTTGGACATACTTTTTATCATTAGTTATAATCAGAGTTTAGATGTGTGAAACTAAAGGATGCGAATATGCTTCAATTGTAACCTGGTTTTGCTAGAATTAAATTCTCTATCGACTTCATACAATATGATACGATTATACATAACTTCTTCTTTCTTATACTATGAAAATATTTCTTTTTAACAAAACAATTAAGCTTTGTATTACACACTTTTCTACTCATAAAAAGAAGAAGAACAGGAAAAGTAACTTGTATAATGAATGTTAAAATTGACGATCGATCTTGTTTATTTCCTGCATGAATGATAATTATATTCTTAGATATTTACTGGATATTATCTTCTGCTTTTTGTATTCATGACATAACAAAATAATAAATAGATATTTGAAGAACTTTTTTAAATGAATTTTGTTGATTTGATCAAAGATTTAATTATATTCATTGCAAATAAGAAAACTATTAAAGATTCTATTTATTGTTCAATGAAATTTGATACTTTATTTTGACTTTAATCACGTTTAAAACGTTAATACAAGTTTTCAGCAAAATTATTTTCTATATTGTTGTCATCTCTTTTATTTAGGAAAAAATGTATTTTTAAATAAACTTTATTATTAAATCGTTAATTAGATCTAAACAATAAAAATCAGAATTATCAATGAAAAATCGTCTTTAGAAATGTATTATTGTTACGTATCTATGTAATGTTTGTTTATAAAGAGAAGAAATATGAGTGAAAATTTGGATGAATGTATTATATCAATCTTTCACCTATTCGCACTCACCTGTTAATAACACATTATTTATCGCTAGAGGGTGTGGGTCTGGATGGGATGTGGGCTGAGCGATTATAGGCATGAGTACCCATACTCATCCTCTATAAGCTTATAGGAATAGATATTCTTTAAATCATCAGCCGTGTAAAATTTGAAAGTTTGAATCAATTTTCGGATCTTACATATCTGGACCATCTATATATGACTTATAAATTATGTATAACTGTAAGTATTTCCTTTTTCTTTTTCTATTATTAACATGAAAGGACAAGTAGTTCTTCATTTATTTTCGAATTTATGGTATACATACAGGCTATTTTATTCTCATTTTTTTAATTTAATAAATATTGGAATTGGTTAGAAAACAGGTTTTTTTTTCGAATATTCATGCTCAACAATGATATAATGAAGAATTATCTCGGAATTTAAATGGTTTTATAAATGATAAAACAAATCGAATGATTGGATAGGCAATAATAAGATAACTACGCATTAAATCACAACCATGTCAAATTAAATAAAATCTTTTCTCCACATGTGAAGAAAAACATTCATTTGAACCTGGATGGATTAAACAAACAACACAAGTATATAGTTCTGGTGGTTATGTATATGAATTTCGAGGACGATTAATTGATCTTCAAAG